CCAGTGGAGCCCCAGTGCACAGCAAATATGGAGCAATACAGAAGCATGAGTCACTGCTGAAGCCTGTGAGAGGAAAACAGAACTCAGGCCTTCTGCTGTCATTACACTTGATTTTTGCCCATTGTGAACAGGGGCTCTTATGGTTGATGATATCCTCGGCATCTGCCCGCTCTGCTGCTGGATCCAGGAGCTGGTATTGCTGGAGAAATTCACACAGAGAGGGGAATCGCTTCTTCTTAAAATGAACATTTGGGCCAGGTGCAGTGGTCCATGCCTGTAATCCCAGCCTGTGTCAAGTGATGGTGAGGCAGAGGTGGGCAGATCACATGAGACCAGGAGTTTGAGACCAGCCTGGTCAACATGGTGAAACCCCGTCTCTACTAAAAATATAAAAATTAGCCAGGAATGGTGATACACGTCTGTAATCCCAGCCACTGGGGGGCGGAGGCATGAGAATTGCTTGAAGCCAGGAGGATTGCAGTGAGCCAAGATTGTGCCACTGTACTCCAGCCTGGGTGACAGAGTGAGATGCTGTCTGGGAAAGAAAAGAAAAGAAAAGAGAAGGGAGAGAGGGAGGGAGGGAAGGAATGAAAGAGAGAAAGAAAAGAAGGAAACAAAGGAAGAAAGAAAAGGAAGGAAGGAAGGAGGGAGGGAGGGAGGGAAGGAGGGAAAGAAAAGGAAAATTAGCTCCTGTCGCTCCTCTGCTTCAGTACCCCGCAATGCCTTTCCATTAAACTTAGAACAGAATCTCAAACCCCTCAATAACAAAATTTTGAATAGAGATTTCTCCAAAGAAGACACACAAACACCCACTACGCACATGGAGAGATGCTCACTGTCACTCACCAGCAGAGAAATGCAAATCAAAGCCACAGTGAGATGGGACTTCACATCCACTGGGATGCTATTACAAAACACACACATTCAGAAAATTACGAGTGTCGGCAAAGAAGTGGAGAAGCTGGAACACTTGCAAATGGCCAGTGGAAATGTAAACTGCTGCAATCACTGTGGAAAACGTTATGGCAGGTCCTCCAAAACCTAAACATAGAAGACTGTAGGCTGCAGCAATTGCATTCCCGGATATAGTTCCTGAATTGAAAGTAGGGACTCAAACAGGTATTTGTACACCAGGTTCACTGCAGCATTATTCATAATAGCCAAGAGGTGGAAGCAACCAAAATGTCTCTCAGCGGGTGAATGGACCAGCAAAATGTCACATATCCACACAATGGAATATTATTCAGCCTTGAAAAGAAATTCTAGCACATGCCCCAAAGCACTGCATCTTGAAGACGTTCTGCTCAGTGAAGTAAGCCAGACATAAAAGGACAAAATGTGTAAGATTCCTCTGTTGAGGTTCCTAAAGTAGCCAATTCAGAGAAAGAGAAAGTAGAGTAGAGGTTACCAGGGGCTGTGGGGGAGGGAGGAATGGGGAATTAGTATTTAATGGGTAGAGAGTTGCAGTTTGAGGTAATGAAAAAGTTATGGAGAGGCTGGGCGCAGTGGCTCATGCCTGTAATCCCAGCACTTTGGGAGGCCCAGGCAGGCGGATCAGCTGAGATTGGGAGTTTGAGACCAGCCTTACCAACATGGAGAAACCCCGACTCTACTAAAAATGCAAAATTAGCCGGGTGTGGTGGTGCATGCCTGTAATCCCAGCTACTTGGGAGGCTGAGGCAGGAGAATTGCTTGAACCCAGGAGGTGGAGGCTGCAATGAGCCAAGATCACGCCCTTGTACTCCAGTCTGAGCAACGAGAGCAAAACTCCATCTCAAAAAAAAAAAAAGAAAAAAGAAAAGAAAAAGTTATGGAGACAGATGGTGGTGATGGTGGCACTATAATGTGAACGTACTTAGTGCCACTTAAACATAATTAAGATGGTAACTTTGGTATTATGTATATTTTTCAACAATAAGAAATTTTCAAATTCCAAACCCCTCTCCTATATGGCGCCTTCTCATCCGTCCACCACTCTCTGACATTCCTTGATCTCTTGCTTCTGTACTTTAGACATCCTGTTTTAATTTCAGCTCCTCAAAAAATGCCAATCTTGTTCTCAACTTCAGAGCCTTTGCACCTGTCACTTCCTCTGTGGGGAACATTTTTTCTTTTTGAGATGGAATCTCGCTCTGTTGCCCAGGCTGGAGTGCAGTGGCATGATCTCGACTTACTGCAACCTCCGACGCCCCGGTTCAAGCGATTCTCCTGCCTCAGCCTCCCAAGTAGCTGGGATTACAGACACGTGCCACCACACTAGGCTAATTTTTGTATTTTTAGTAGAGACGAGGTTTCACCATGTTGATCAGGCTGGTCTCGAACTCCCGACCTCAGGTAATACACCTGTGTTGGCCTCCCAAAGTGCTGAGATTACAGGCATGAGCCACCATACTTGGCCTTGGAACATTTTTCTCTCTATTTCTCTCTATTCTTTACAGGGATTAATCCTTTTAATGTTTTGTATGTGTGGCAGAGACTAGCTAGATGCTCAAAATCAAGCTGTTTTCTCTTCTACCTGGGCACACCTATCTCACTCAGCATACCTGGTCTTCCTGCACTTACATCCCAGCCTCCCTTGCAGTTAGATGTGTCAAGTGATGGTGAGAAAGAAAACTGCTGTCATTACTTGCAGGCTTTTCACCCACTCTGGAGAAAACCCTGACACTGAAGAGCATGGGGCTTTTGGGAGGGAAATGTTAGAAACTGAAGAGCCACAGATGGGTGGAGCCAGGGTCCCTGAATCACCACATGGAAGCGAGGCACCTACTGATCAAGCCATGTTCATTTTGGATCTTATGTGGGTGGGAAGAAAACAACTTGTTTTTGAGCCACGATACACTTTGGGGTGATCTTATTAGGTTTAAAACAGCTAGTTTTACTGTAATATGAACCCAAGGCAGGGGTCTTCTCTATCCACCAATGTCGTATCTTGCCCCCCCCGTCCATCATTCTCTGTTCCATTGTGTTGTTTCTTGTCCTAGCTTCATAGTTTGTAACTTGTTTATTCATTTTAATACACTGATGTGGGGACATTTTCCCCTCTAGATGGCAACCTTCTTTGATACACAAACTGTGTGTCTTGTCACTGCAATTCCCTAACATGCCTAACACAAGCTCCATAAACATTTACTGCATGAAGGAATCAAGGTCTGAATTGCAGCCTGGTCGTAAGTGGTGCTTACCCATTCTGTTAGCCTCTCCTCTGCACTCCTGCCATTTCCTGTCTTGTGCCTTTAGTCATAGTCCCTTCACTGATGGCCTCAGAGCTATTTGAAACCTGTGCACTTCTGGATGAACCTTTTAACACAGCATTTGGTGATGTTGCAATGAATGCCGAATGCTGGTCTCTCCCCGACAGACTGAGTCTCTCTAGGGTGCATTGGCATTCCTAGGGTCTAACAGGTAATAAGGTGGCAAATGAATCAATGAACCGGTGAATTAATGAATTTGTCTGAAGAATTTAAGACTGATCCTATCTCAATTCAGAGGCAGAGCACAGAATGCAACATCGTCAAACACTGGCCTGTTCCTCTTCTAGACAAGTGCCGTGAGTCACCACATCCTGGCACACTGGTTGGGAAAGAGCCCTGGCTGGGCTGCAGGGGACGTGAAGTCAGAGCCTGCCCTGTGCCCAGCTCACTGAGCACTCTGGCAAGCCACCTTCTCTTTCCCTGACTCAGTCATCTTATCCACAAAACGTCGGATTTGGGCTAAACAATACCAAAACTGTGTTAACCTTACAGTGACATTATTTAAACCCAGGCAGCCAAAGAGAAAGTAAAGAACAATGCTTTCTACCTGTGTTGTCTAATTCAGAAGCCACGAACCACACGTGGCTACCTAACACTTAAAATGTGGCCTGTCCCAATTCAGATGTATTGTAAGTACAAAACACACTAGATTTCAGAGACTTAGTACAAAAAATGTACATTTCTCATTAACAATGTTTATATTGATTTCATGTTGAAACAACATTTTGGAAATATCAGCTTCAATAAAACACACTATTAGAGTCATTTTGCCCATTTCTGTTTACTTTTCTTAAATGTGGCTAATAGAAATTTTAAAATTACACATGTGAGCTGCATTTTGGGCAGCACCACTCTATGCCATTCTTAGCACTGAAATTCAGCTACATACTTCAATCTATAATGCATAAGTCATTGTTTCTAAGTCCTTTCTTGAGCTCTCCAAACTCATTGTCAAATGAATCCTAAAAAGTTTCACTAAAGTCGATCTAGCCACAATGAAACTTCACTAGGAATGGGCATCCATGTAGACCTTATGCTGTTTTTATTTCGTAACCAGTGGGTTTTAGGTTAAAACCGTTTCTGAGAAAGAAAACAATTCCAGCAATTGAAAATGATACAGCAGGCCAGGTATGGTAGCTCACACCTGTAATCCTAGCACTTTGGGAGGCCGAGGCAGGTGGATCACCTGAGGTCGGGAGTTCAAGACCAGCGTGACTAACATGATGAAAGCTCATCTCTATCAAAATACAAAAAAATTAGCCAGGTGTGGTGGCAGACGCCTGTAGTCCCAACTACTTGGGAGGCTGAGGCAGGAGAATCGCTTGAATCCTGGAGGTGGAGGTTTCAGTGAGCTGAGAGCAAGCCACTGCACTCCAGCCTGGTGACAGACCGAGACTCAGTCTCAA